AGCCTGGGGAGGCCACGCCCGCCGCCTGCAGGGCCGCCCGAGGGGCTTGAGCGGGGTGGCCACAGGCCGAAGGTGCACCGAAGGTGGGAGATGTCCCGGGGGACGGCACCGCGGACCAAAATCTGCATTCTGACACGCGGTGCCTATGGTGGGAGACGTATTCTGGCGCGGTGGGGCCGGGTCTCACCGATCACGGCAGCACACGGGTTTAACTGTGTGGGGAAGAGGGCTCCAGCCCGAAGCCCCGCCGCTTCTTAGCTTCCCGTGGAAGCCCGGGCTGTGCTCCTCTATCCTGATAGGAAAACACCGCCCTCCCTCGAGGCCAGTGCGCCCCGGCCGTGCGGGTGACCATGCCACCTAGTGACCTTTCATCAGAGGACATTGGCGACCTTCTTGCCCTGCCCACCGTGGCCTCAGAATCTTGACTGCGCCCTTGGACATCTAATAGCCATACCATGGATCTCATCTTCCTTACTGATGAACTCAGTCCTTAAGCTTCTATCCTAGCCGCTGTACCCTAGGAAACTAGTTTTCACACCCCACTAAGATAACCCTGGTTATTGTCCTACCCTGTCCTACATGTTTTTTTGTTTTGATTTGTTTCGTTTTTTTGTTTTTGGAACCGGGGACTGAACTCTGGACCTTGCGCTTGAGAAGCAGGGGATGGAACCACCGAGCTAAATCCCAGGAGCCCTCCTTTGTTTCTTGAAAACAGTCTTCATTCTAATTTTCACTTTCTCACCTTCTGCCTGCTCTTTCCAAAACTTCAAAATGGCCATATTTGCCGCCTTTATACTGAGAACTTCGGGTACAGACCCCAGTGGATTCCTAACTTGAGTGGACCCTTCAGTTCTCTCAGGCAAACATCGCAACCAACATTCGACACTCTCAAAAACCTTGTGCTTATGTATTTTTTGGTACTGGAGCTCAAACTCAGGACCTTGCACTTGCAAGGCAGGCACGGTGCCACTGAGCTAAATCCCGGTCCCTATCTTGTGCTTCTTAAAGCAGCTTCTCTAATTTTCTTGCTTTCTTTTCAACCATTCCTTCTCAGACTCTAGGAGGGCCACTCGCCCTCAGGTAGTAGAGCAGTTGAATGTTTCACTCACCCACATTTATTTTTCCTCCACGCTGTAGTTTGTATGATCTCCATGACAGTTTCACTTAACTGTGTCACTGATTCCAGAAACTACTCCCAGCCTGGTCTTCTCTAGAGCTCGCAGTGAATTTATCCAATGCCCCTGATTGTCATCTCCCGGGTATCCCAACGTTCAGATATGAGCTCAGCTTTCCTGCAAAACATTTGCCTCTTTTTGTGCTCTGGATCCCTGAGAGTAGCTGCCTCATTCACTCAGTCTAGGCACCTGACTGTCCACAGAGATACATACCACCCTGAATACCTCTTTGAGTGCCACCCCGCAGTGTCCAAGACTGTGGATTCTACTTCCTCAATAGGTGGAAGTGGCTGGTGCAGGAATGAGTCTGCATTTCATACCCCATCCCTTTACACCTATCCTGCTGCTCTATTCTTAATTGGCATCTTCACCCCTGGATAATGGTGGTGTTTGTCAGTCCTTTCTAAAGCCCAACACTGCAGATGCAGGAGTATAGTGGCCCAATTCTCCCATGGGCCAACTCTGAACTTGCTAACATTACCTCTGAACCCTGTCACCATCTTCTGTCCCCATCCTCTTGTCAAGCTATGTTGCCACCTCCCTGATGTGCAGGAAACCAGCCTGCTAGGAATGCCTAACCAGAGGGGCAAACGGAGATTAAAGATAAGACACAGAGATAATTTTGAAAGAGGGCCCAAGGGCTCTCACCTCTAGTGGAGAAAGAGCCCTGATCATCTGGTTCACCTGGATTTTATTTAACGTAGGCAAGGGTGCAAGCAATTAGGTTAATGGACGATTCATCTGTTTCTCGTTATTTGTACAGTGTACCCAGATAAGTATTTTTGTAAACTAGATCTCAGCTGTTGTTAAACTTCTTCTCTGGAACTTGGATGCTGGCATGTTGCCAAAGGAGGGACACCTTGTTGTCCCTCCTTCATGTCCACAGGGACAGTCAACTGG